CTCTTGCTGCTGCGTGAGTTTCTCCTTTGGCTGTTTGGACTAGCTCCCGTAGGTAATGTCCTCCATGAATTTGACATCCCTGCTGTCAAACACCACTCCTTTGCTCGGCTCCCACAGCAGCCACCCCTTGCTTTCCGCTGCCAACCCCAAGTGTACACACCAGACGGCAGTTGCACCCAACTTACTACGGTGTGCCTTGGGGATGTGAGCCATTGCCATGCAGCCAAACACACGCAGCATGTCAATGGGCGGCTTCCTCCCAAGCCACCTCTCCATGGGGACCCATGACTCACCACCAACGTTGGTGAACACCCGGTTCTTCACCACCGTGGCGTGGCGCACAGCATGTGGCCACTTGGAGTTCCCCAACCCTGATTCGATGCGGAGTGCACGTGCTGTCTCCAAGAGTGTGCGGTTGGCCCTTTCAGCTACGCCGTTCGATTGTGGTGTGTATGAGGTGGTAAGCTCGCGGATGATGCCCTGCTTTTTAAACCAAACAGTCAGCTCCTCCCCAAGGAACTCCCCACCCCGGTCAGTCCTAATCCGCATCACCTTGTTCCCGGACTGCTTCTCTACCAACGGCAGCCAATCGTCTTGAATGATGGACGGCACGTGGTCCTTCTTCTTGATTGGATAGGCCCAAGTCACTCGGCTCCAATCATCAACAATGGTGAGGAAGTACTTCTCACCCCGTTTCCCCATCACCGGTAGCGGCCCCACCACATCCATGTGCACGAGCTCTAAGAGCTTCTTGCCGCCACCCTCGGTTGCATGAAAGGGGAAGCGCGTGAACTTGCTTAGCATGCAAGTTTCACACTTGTGGGAGACCGATGCTCCAATCAGCTTCAGCCCCTTAACCGCTTCCCCCTTTTGCAGTTGCTGCAGTGCGGGCATAGCTATGTTCCCGAGGCGGCGGTGAGCTGTCATCCAGTCCGTTTCGCCACCCCTTGCTGAAACCTTCAGCTCCTCTGCAGCTACAGCATTACACTCCCCCTCAGATCCACCCTCCTTGCCCCATGACACCACCGGCAGCTGCCACATGGACTTGCAAATGTCGCGGTTCTCGTGAAGGTCCCACAACACCCGCTTTCCCAGCTGCCCCGTGAACGTCTTAAGACCGTCGGTGGAAGTGCTGACCCCACATTTGTCCAGCTTCCTAAGGGAGATTAGATTTGCCTTGAGGTCAGGGACAAGTAGCACATCGCTCAGCACAACCGGCTTGCCGTCAGCTCCTTTGAATGCAGCACGTCCCGCCCCCGTCATCTTGAAGGCATGCCCGGATGCTGACTTCACCTCAGCAATCGGTGCGGTCCCCACCTTGTCCAGGAGCTCGGCCCTTGGAGTCATTGTCCATGCCGCTCCCGTGTCCAATATCCACGTGTTGAGCGGGTGCAGTGAAGCTCCAGCATGGGCGATCACCGCTTCCTCTTCCGGCTCCCCAACGTGGAAGAATTGACCCGCTTCACGTTGCTCACATTCAGCCGGTTCTTCATCGGCTACCGCTCCGGCGCCGCTCCCATCCTTAGTCCTGTTAGAGGGGGTCCTTCTAACGAAACACCCCGTAGCGAAATTCTCCTCGGCGAATGAGGACAAAACGCTCGAGGGTTCCACAAATTCAATTGTGGATCCACGTGCACCTCTCTTATCCCACGCGCCACCTCACTGCCACACTCGCGCGTGTGGCAGCAATTGAATTGCGGCCCTCAGGCCGAGCGTGTGCCTCGACTAGCACCCTTCGGCCTTTTGGCGCTTTACGCATGATTGCGCACCAGGGCTCGGGCTCATGGCCTCGAGCCTTGACCAGCGCGAAGTTGGTCAAAGGGGCGGGTCAACAGACTCGAGCCCCAAACTCAGCACACCCGCAACTCACCACCAATGCTTATGAAGATAACTCGACATTCATGAAACACGGAACTTTCATGGACGCGCATGTTCGTCCATGAGAAAACATGAACACACATGACCGGACATGAACACACATGAGAGGACATGAACACACATGATCGGACATGAACAAACATGACTCGTCATGATCCATCATAACTGATCATGATCCCACAGCAACAACACATGAAACGAAATTCGAAAACGAGTGCACACAGAACACACACACAATGCGTAACGTCATGCAGGCGGCTGGTTGTAGTGCAAAAATAGAATTGTGCACCCAACAAATACTACAAAATTCGTACCTCCAGATGATGAGAAATCTTAGTTGGCTCAAGTGAGAAAAAGTAATGAGAGGTTGATGTTTTCCCTGAAAAAAACCGAAGGAATAAACAGGGGATGACAAATACATACAAAGAAAAAAATAATCATCCCGTAGTATTACTCTTTAAACGTACTATCCTAGCTACTATCGCCCTTAGTTGATACTAAAACTCTCTTCTCGGGGTCACCTCCGAGGGTCCTTGGGTGCCTGACCGAGGTCAGCCCCTATCCAAGGGTCCGAGCGTGTAGAGAGAGAAATGTAATATCAACTGAGGTGCAGCAGCGGTCGTCGTTTTTTTGGCGCTGTCAAAACGATGTATTGCGGCAGCGTCCTCGTAGCAGGCGCAGGAGTGAACTTTCACTGAAGCTATATTCAAAACAAACAAGAACAACCATTTTTATACTTAGCCTTATTCATTCTACTCCTACCTTGATCTAGGTGTTTCAAATTCACACCTCGTAGCGCGAACATATTTTCACGTTCCCTCCGATTCCTTTCGTGACCTGGCGCATAATGGATGCGTCGCCGAAAATTTTTGAATTTCGCGTGCAAAAAATGTTGACAGTGCCGATCCGATAATTTGCAGCCCGCGCAAATCTCGAACGGTAAAGATCCTTCCCGTTTGAAGTTGCGTGAGGTTAGTCAGCTCGATCCGCGAGCTGAGTTGGACTGATTGCAGGAACCAAGCTTCAGCATTCCGAGCAGTTCATAATCACACTTGCTTACCGAAACAGAACTCGCCACGTGTGCCTCTCTACTCGAGCCGTGAACACCCTTGCATTGGACCTGTTCACGCTCTTCAGAACGTGAGTAATCGAACTCACGTTTCGGTCACTTCGTTTACCTCGTCACCGGTGCAACTCATAATCCGTTAACCTGTAACGCTCGCATTACTCCCCACGAAGCACAAACAACTGCTCGCTCATTATCGAAAATGAACACGCTACTTGAGCAGCGACCAATCATAGTCCTTCGACATTCGCAGCGCAAGCAGTTGCTCGCTCGTTCATCCGAACAGCTGCCAGCCACCTCGATCGGTGGCAGCGCAAACATCAGCCAACGAGATCCCCCAAAGTACTCACACAAGCTTCTCGATCAAAGCACCATAGTGAGCAACAGCCAATCGCTGCAGCGGAAAATAGAGCAAACAGCTGCTGACTCATTTTGATCAGCTCGCCCCAAAAGTCAAACTCGATCTTTGAACCACATCCATCCGCTCCCATTGGTCGAGACTAAAGCTGACTTAACCTAAATTGTACCAGACTCGCCAATCCCTTCAGCTCCAGTTACAAAACCTGAACCATAACCTAAAATCGGCAGATTGAATTACCGAAAAGTAATTCTGTAATCAACAACACTATCCCCTCAATCTGACAATTTTACACCACACACCCTTTGTTGCTAACTTGTCCGCTCCCCAACCTGTTAATCAACGCTCAACTGTTTGAACTTTCACCTATGCTTTTCGCGCACGCTACTCCTGCTCCCTCACAACTCTGATAAACAACGGCAGCCCTATGATCCTTGCAACTTGATTAAACACCCCTGGCTTGTTCCCATTGGCTATCTCAACAACCTGCTTCTGCCCTGACAATCCCATGCAGCTTGATCCGGTGCCTAAAAGCTTCCGCACTTCTTGCATTTGTTATCACAAACACTGTTGCACCACTCTCACGTGACCCAAGCTTAATAGTGTCGCTGCTCCCCTCGTTTCTCCTTTGTTGTCATTGAAAATTCAACACTAACTCCCATCATTTCTCGCACCCACTGCACCAGCTCCTTGAACAAAGTGATTAGTGACGATGCATTCTTGTTCCCCACAGCTTCACTCATGCCCATCGCCTTTCTTGCGTCAACCTTGCCAGCAACGCGAACATTCCCAAGGACAATTCCTTCTTGGCCCACACGACTGTGGATTCGCTCTTTGACAACGATTTTGCTCAGCTTCAGCTTGTCCTTAGAGGTTCATGCACCCTTGGTACATGTGGTTGTCTCGAGTAGTCCATTGCTCTTGTGAAGACCAGACCTATGAGCAGCTTTCATCCCCCCGTTGCCATTGCTCTTTTGCACTTCACCCACAGAAACAACATCACTTGCCTTCTTGCCCTAATTCGCAGCTTCGCACGACTACAGTGATGCCATAGCTTTGCACACCTTCAACTTGGCGGTAGCCTTACTCTCCCTAAATGCAACTCTTCCCTTAGCCTTGGTTTTCTTCAAACAGGAGGCGATGATCTTCAACTGCTCGACCAGCTGCACTCCTATCTGCTTTAGCTTGTTTATCTCATCCATGCTGACTGTCATTGACTCTCCCTTGACGATACACCCCTTCTCGGCAGTTTGTGCTGTAACTGTTTTTCCATGACACAATGGGTACTCGCCACAGCTCATTTTCCGAGTTCCACTCCTCACGCAGTTCCCAAACCACTTTGTTCCCAAACCTTCCCTTTAAGCGCCCAGCTCTGCTCTCGGTGTTCACTCCAGCAACCGCCAGCATCCTCAGCGATATCAAGTTCGCTGTCATTTCCGGTACAAACAGCACCTTCTCAATAGCGATCGGCTTCTTGTCAGCTCCCAAGAATGCAGCCCTTCCTGCACCCATCACTCTCCTTGCATGTCCGGATCCGGACTTGACTTCCGAGACGGGTGCTGCACTAATACTCTACAGCAATTCCGCACACGGTGTCATCGACCAGGCGGCTCCAGTGTCCAAGATCCAAGTGCGTCATCCAGATTCGTCTCGTGCTCTTTTCCCATGTGTTGTTTCTCTCACCATCACATGGAAGAAATGTCAACGGGAGTTGTTGTTAGCCCCGTCCTCGCCTGGGCGGAGCTGCTGGAGCTGCTCGTAGTGGAGGCGCTGGGAGTGCAAGTGTTTCTGGTTCTGGAGGTGCTCGTACCGGAGGTACTAGAGCTGCCAGGACTGGTGGTTCTGCTGGAGCTGGAGGTGCTGGTTCTAGGGGTGCTGCTAGTGGTGGTGTTGGTGTTCGAGGCACTTGAGCTGAAGACATTGGTGCCGGAGGTGCTGGCCGTAGAGGTGCTGGCCCGGGGGTTCCGAGTCTGTTGGTGCTGAGCCTAGGGGTGCTGAGTCTGCTGGGGTCCTCCTGGTGCCGCATCGAAGCGGTCACCTCTCTCGCCGCAGCAGCTGTGTGAGTGGCTTGCTTCGCGCACCCGCCTTCGGAGTCACGCTGCTGGACGTGGAGGCGCTGCTGCTGGAGGTGCCGGAGCTGGAGGCACAGGAGGTGGAGGCCCTGGAGCCGGAGGTACTCGCCCTGGAGGCACTAGAGCTGGAGACCCTGGAGCTGGCGGTCCTGACTCTGGGGGTACTGGAGCTGGAGGCACTGGAGCTGGAGGCCCTGGAGCTGGTGCTGTCGACCCTGGAGTTGGAGACCCTGGAGCTGGAGGTGCCGGTTCTAGGGGTGCTGCTGCTGGAGGTACTAGGGCTGGAGACCCTGGAGCTAGAGGTGCCGGTTCTGGGGGTGCTGCTGCTAGAGGTGCTGGTGCTGGAGGCCCTGGAGCTGGTGCTGTCGACCCTGGAGTTGGAGACCCTGGAGCTGGAGGTGCCGGTTCTGGGGGTGCTGCTGCTGGAGGTACTGGAGCTGGAGACACTGGAGCTGGAGGTGCCGATTGATGCTGGGGGTGCTGGAGCTGCTGGAGGCGCTGGAGCTGGAGGTTCTGGAGCTGCTAGACGCTGCAGCTACTGGTGCTGGTGGCACTGCACAGCCGCGACTGTTCTTCGCTCCGCCATCACCGTCGTCTCTGCCACCGCCTGACTCCGTGCTTCGCCAGGTTCTTAGCCTCCCGTCTTCTACTGGCCTCCCGCTCCAGCCAGGCTCCCCTCTGCCTGCTCCTTCTCCTTACACTGAGCAGACAGACTCGCTTACAGAGCGTCGTGAGCCTGTGTCTCGTCCTGCCTTGCCTGTTCGCGCTCGTCGCACTAGTCGTCGTGTTCCTCGTGAGCGTCCGCCTCCTGTCCCCGGCACGCACACTATGGCACTTCGTCCTTCCTCTGTTCCACAGCGTGTTCCCCTGCCGTCTCCTCCTGAGTCCTCTCTTCCGCACGTTCCGGACCCTGAGTCTGACGTGGTTCGTGCTGATCACCCTACTGTCACGTGTCTCCTAGCCACTGTTGTCACTGACCCTTCGTTTGAGTCTACTGCTGCGTCTGCCTTAGTCGCTGAGCTTGTTGACTTTGCTGCTGCTTGTCGTCTCGACTACGCCGCTAGTCTTGTTGCTGAGTCTGAGTCAGTCTGTCCTCCGTCCGTCGGGGGTGAGTGTGCTCTTGGCACGGACGTCCTTGAGGATAGGCAGGAGGACTTTGAGTGTCTTGCAGCCGCTGCACCTCATCTCGTGGCCATGCTTCTTGCCCCTGAGGGAGACCCGGATGCACTAGACATCCCGACCCCGCGCTCTTACGCAGAGGCGATTACGGGTCCCTACTCCTCTCAGTGGCAGACAGCCATGGACGCAGAGATGGCATCCTGGAAGTCCACAGACACTTACGTCGATGAGGTTCCCCTTCCTGGGGCGAACATCGTCGATGGCATGTGGATTTTCAGGGTGAAGCGGCCGCCGGGTTCTCCGCCTGTCTTCAAGGCTCGTTACGTTGCATGAGGCTTCAGTCAGCGACAGGGAGTTGACTTCTTCCAGACCTTCTCCCCCACCCCGAAGATGACCACTCTTCGGGTGCTGCTGCACGTTGCCGCTCAGCGTGACTACGAGCTTCACTCTCTTGACTTCAGCATAGCCTTCTTACAGGGCAGTCTGCACGAGGAGATCTAGCTGCGCCGCCCACCTGGCTTCACTAGGTCGTTCCCTCCTGGTACCCAATGGAGCCTCCGGCGGCCAGTCTACGGTCTCTGCCAGGCGCCTCGTGAGTGGCACGACACACTGAGGATGACACTTGCGGCTCTTGGGTTTGCCCCTTCCACTGCTGACCCGTCGTTGTTTCTTCGCACCGACACCTCGCTGCCGCCGTTCTACATCCTCGTGTACGTCGACGATTTGGTCTTTGCCACTGCTGACACTGAGGCACTCGCCCTTGTGAAGTCAGAGCTGCAGAAGAGACACACGTGCACAGACCTGGGTGAGCTGCACAGTTACCTTGGCTTGCAGATCACCCGGGACAGAGCACGCCGCACCATCACCCTGACTCAGTCACACATGGTGCAGCAGGTCCTTCAGCGCTTCGGCTTCACTTGGTCCTCGCCACAGTCCACTCCTCTGGCTACCGGTCACTCGCTCTTAGCTCCACCTTCGGACGAGTCCGTAGAGCCGAGTGGCCCGTATCCAGAGCTAGTGGGCTGCCTTATGTACCTGATGACCTGCACTCGACCTGACCTTGCGTACCCTCTTGGCCTTCTGGCACGCTACGTGGCTCCTGGTAGACACCGAAAGGTGCACTGGGATGCTGCAAAGAGGGTACTACGCTACTTGTGCAGTACATCGGGCATGGGGCTCGTGCTTGGAGGACGGGGTGACGTTGTCCTCACTGAACACTCAGACGCTTCTTGGGTTGACAACCTGGCTACGCAGCGGTCGTCACAGGGTTACACTTTCAGCCTTGGCTCCGGCTCTGTTTCTTGGCGGTCTACCTGCTCGTCTTCTGTTCTCAGCTCCAGTTGTGAGGCTGAGGTCTACGCCACAGCCATGGCTGCACAGGGGTTACGCTGGCTCACCTGCCTGTTGACCGACTTGGGAGAGAGGCCTCGTTCTCCTCCAGTTCTGTACGTAGACAACAAGGCTGCTATTACCTTGTGTCAGGAGCACGGAATGAAGCACATAGCTCTACGTTACTGCCTTACTCGAGAGTTGCAGCAGCGTGGTCAGCTTCGTGTTGCTTACGTGGCCACTCGGGCCAACACTGCTGATGTGTTTACCAAGGCACTTCCGTCTGGTGACTATGAGCGCTTCTGCACTGCTCTAGGCCTGGTGCCTGTGTTTGCTCACTTGCTTACTTCTTGACTTTGTTTGTACTGTGATCTATATTATATACCTGCATGCCTACTCCTGCTAGGTAGTGATCACTGTACTGTTGTTGTTGCATATATACCTCTGCATGTGAACTGGCCTTGTGGCCCTTTGCTTGTGCTCAGAGTGTGTGGTGACGTTGTGATCCACCCTGGGCTTGCCTTGATTTTCTTGACTGGTCTTGTGACCCCTTGTTCTCCCCCACTTTGCCTATGGGGTTGTGTCAAACTATATATGTGTTAGTTCTGTGTAGGCTATAGTGGGGTAGCCCATATGGGGTACAACCCAAAGTTAGGGTTAGTACTTGTACCCACATTTCATTCAATTCAGTCATTCCTGCTTGTTAGTTTCTGACACTTTGCACACCTTCAACTTGGCGGTAGCCTTACTCTGCCTAAATGCAACTCTTCCCTTAGCCTTGGTTTTCTTCAAACAGGAGGCGATGATCTTCAACTGCTCGACCAGCTGCACTCCTATCTGCTTTAGCTTGTTTATCTCATCCATGCTGACTGTCATTGACTCTCCCTTGACGATACACCCCTTCTCGGCAGTTTGTGCTGTAACTGTTTTTCCATGACACAATGGGTACTCGCCACAGCTCATCTTCCGAGTTCCACTCCTCACGCAGTTCCCAAACCACTTTGTTCCCTAACCTTCCTTCTAAGCGCCCAGCTCTGCTCTCGGTGTTCACTCTAGCGACCTCCAGCATCCTCAGCGATATCAAGTTCGCTGTCATTTTCGGTACAAACAGCACCTTCTCAATAGCGATCGGCTTCTTGTCAGCTCCCAAGAATGCAGCCCTTCCTGCACCCATCACTCTCCTTGCATGTCCAGATCCGGACTTGACTTTCGAGATGGGTGCTGCACTAATACTCTACAGCAATTCCGCACACGGTGTCATCGACCAGGCGGCTCCAGTGTCCAAGATCCAAGTGCGTCATCCAAATTTGTCTCGTGCTCTTTTCCCATGTGTTGTTTCTCTCGCCATCACATGGAAGAACTGTCAACGGGAGTTGTGTGTTGGCCCCATCCTCGCTTGGGCGGAGCCGACGGCGTGGTCGGATGTGCGGGGTGTGCAGCCGACCTGCTGCAGTGGGCAACGCCGAATTGGCGGGCTGGTCGACTGGGGTGGTTGACTTGTACGGGGCCACTGCGCAGCCTCCGAGATAGGAGGTCGAGCGACGATGAGAGGCCGGGCTGGAAGGTGCCGAGGTGCGGGCGGTCGACCTGGCGAGGTCGACCACGGAGGCGTCAGCTTCCCGGCGCCGACTTTGGGGACGTCGATGGTACAGCCAGCAACCGGAACGTGGTCGACGACTAGGGTGGACACCGGGCACACCCGCCGACGCCGCTTTAGTGGTTGCCCGATCAACCAAGTTACCCGGGCGACGAGGATCAGCGGGAGTGCACGACGGTCGCCCAGGAGGTTTCTGTGAGGCCGACCTCGGGAGTGGTATCACGAGGTCGACGTGGCTGGCGTGCGCAATCACTAACGTAGTGTCTGCGCAGTGAGCGTGACGAGGCTGGGCACGCCAACCAGCTGCGCACACCTGCAAAGCGGGTGCACCGGTGTCATGCGCGCTGTGCAGCCGACTTACTGCAGCGTTGGCACGCCGCTGACTTGCAACGTTGGCGCGCCAAGTCTTTGTGGCACTGGAGCGGTGCGAGTTGTGCTGCACTGGAACGCGGTCGACTGTGGTGCGCTTTCAAAAAAACAACCATAAAACTATTTACATAAATCGAAATATCACGAGCGCGGAGAAGCGCGGGATAAAAGGTGGTGCGATCGTGAAACGGGTTTTTGAAAAATTTGAGCGTGATAAAAAAACATTCACGACACCAAAGCCCGTGACGCGGTAATTCTCTCCACCCTTTCTATGCTCGTTGCAAGAGAGGATGTGTGCGACACATTTGTCGCTTTGGGTTGGTGGGATTCGCGGGTGTGGTGAGTGCGACATGTTCACTTGTTTGCGGAGGAAAGTTTTTCTTACCAAAGGCAACCAACCGAAATAGGTTTCACGGAGGGCCTGTGCTAGGATTTATAGCATCTTGAGACCTCAGGGCAACTTTCCAACGAGAAAACATCGCAACTCAGGATGCATGAGAGAAATAACTTTGCAACGTGGCAAAGGATCGTTCGTGCCAAGGCAACTCTGCTTTGTGCCACGGCAGGACCAGATTCTTAGGGGGGAACGAACACATGCCCTCCCTTCTTCCCACCAACCCCCTCCCCCCCTCTTTTACTCGCTTCAAGGCGTTCATCACGTTCATCCTAACGCTTCAAAGCAAAATATTACAGCCATCTTGAAATTTCAGGCAAACATTTGACATTATCCGAAGTATCAGGGTAAAAATCTGCATCATCCAGAAATTACGGGGCAAACGCATGGAAACATCCTGAAATTAGGGTAATCAGGATGTTTTACCCTGATATCGAGGTGTTTAACATATATGTTCATATTCCACTAGGCTGTAGGGGGTACAACAATTCTCTCGACATTGTACTTGTACCTCCTTCCCTTTGATATAATCACCATCCCTAATCCAACGTGGTTTCGGAGCACGTCCCGTTCTAGGACCCTTTTTTTAAAGAACCCACCAAATTAGTTCGTTCCTGCCCGGCGTTCGTTTTTTCCCTGCCCTGCCCGACGTTTCTGCCCTGCCCAGCACACTATCGCGCTGCTGCCCTGCCCTGCCCAGCGCTTTCGCGCAGCCCTGCCCTGGCCTGCCGCGCGCAGCCCGTACAGCCAGTTCGCCGCCCGCGAGCAGCCCGTACAGCCAGCGCATCGCCCGTGCACAACCCGTGCAGCCCGCGCGCCGCCCGCGCGCAGCCCGTACAGCCCGCGCAAGGCCCGCACGCAGCCCGTACAGCCCGCTCCAGGCCCACGCGCAGCCTGTACAGTCTACGCCAGGCCCGCACACAGCCCTGCACCCCCCGTGAGCGCCTGCCCTGCGCTCCGCCGGCGACCCGCAAGCTGCCCGCGCACTGCCCACTGCGCGCCCTGCCGAGCCACAGCTGCTGCCGCCACTGCTGCTGACCACTGCCACTACTGCTACTGGCCGCTGCCACTGCTGCCCTGCCTGCACGCGCTGCTCAGCGCTGCCCTGCCCTGCCTGGCCGCCGCCATCGCTGCCCTGCCAATCCGCAGCTGCTGCCTGCTGCTGCCGCCACTGCTGCTAGCCACTGCCGCTAGCCACTGCCGCTGCTGCTACTGGCCGCTGCCACTACTGCCCTGCCTGCACGTGCTGCTTAGCGCTGCCCTGCCCTGCCTGGCCGCCGCCAGCGCTGCCCTGCCAATCCGCAGCTGCTGCCTGCTGCTGCCGCCACTGCTGCTGGCCACTGCCGCTGCTGCTACTGGCTGCTGCCACTGCTGCCCTGCCTGCACGCGCTGCTCAGCGCTGCCCTGCCCTGCCTGGCCGCCGCCAGCTCTGCCCCTGCCAATCCGCAGCTGCTGCTTGCTGCTGGCCCACCGCCTGCTGCCCTGCGCGTTGCATTGCTCGCGCCGCCTACGTGCGCCCTGCCTGAGCCATCGCGCATTGCCCTGCGCCGCCCGCTCACGCCCCTGCCCTGCCCCTGCTGCATTGCTGCACCGCCAGCTCGCGCCTTGCTCTGCCCTGCTTGCGCGCCTGCTGCTGCTACTTCCGTGCCGCCAAACTGAGCCGCCCGGTCAAGCCACCCGTTCGAGCCGCCCTGCCGAGCCACCCGATATAGTCGCCCAATTGAGCAGCCCGACTGAGCCGCCCCTTCCTGCTGCTACTGAATCCAACTGCCGCTACCGCCCTTGCTACTGCCTGCGCGCGCTCCTACAGTTGCTACCGCTACTGCTCCTACCACTGCTGCCACTGCACCTACCGTTCCGGCTACCGCCGCTGCAGTCGCTACTTCAGCCCTTGAGCCGCTACTGCTGACTAACACTGCCCACAATGGCCAATATCACTGTCCTACGTCAACGGCAGCCGAGTGTGCCGGAGTCTCTCTCGCCGCAGCAGCTTCGCGAGTGGGCCATCTGGTGGGGCAGCCCCGGTGGCGGAGGTAGTCGTGCTCGTCGGAGGAAGTCGCTTTCGCCACAGCAGCGTCGTGAGTGGGAGGTCCGGTGGGGCAACTCCGACGGCGGAGCCTGGGGTGCTACTCCTGGAGGTACCTGTGAGTCTACTCCTGCTGGTAGTGCCGCTGGTAGACGTGGAGGTTCTGGGAGTGGCAGCAGCAGCAGCAGCAGCAGCGGGAGACTCTCTCCCGGCAGCAGCTTCGTGAGTGGGCTCTCCGGTGGGGCAGCCCCGGTGGCGGAGCCTGGGGTACCAGTGCTGGGGGTGGAGAGGCACCTGGTGGTGTAGAGGCTACTAGTTTAGGTGTTTTTGACTCAGATAGCACAGGTGCTGAGTCTGTGGAGGCCTTGCACACTTTCCTCCTTGACTCAGGCGCGTCTCGCTGCTTCTTCCGCGACTGCACCACAGTCAAACCGCTCACAGCCCCTGTCCCTGTCACTCTGGCCGACCCCTCTGGTAGCCTAGTTGTTGCACGTAGCTCTACTGTTCTCCCGTGTCCCGCAGCTCCCTCCGGTTCCCTCACAGGGTTACACCTCCCCTCGTTCGCTAGGAACTTGGTGGCTACTACTGTCCTCCAGGACCAGTTTGTCACTGTTACCCAGTCTGGGGGAGAGCTCATGGCGACCTATACGGACTCACGCACTGGCGAGCACCTCGCCACGTTCACTCGGAGGCCCGGGTCTGGTCTGTACACACTGACCACTGAGTCTGCACAGGGAGCTGAGTCGGGTCAGGTAGTTGGGTTGGTTGAGGTAGCTGCGTCTTGTTCGTGTTGTCTCCTCACGCACCAGACTCTCCTCTGGCACCACCGTCTTGGTCACCCCTCCTTGCCACGTCTGCGTGGTATGCACTCCCGTCTCCGTGTGTCTGGTCTCCCCAGGTCCCTGCCCCCGCTCCCGAGGTCGCTTGCACCGCCGTGCCTTCCCTGCGTCGAGGGGCGGCAGCGCGCCGCTCCTCACTCCTCCTCGTTTCCTCCTACCACAGCTCCTCTCCAGACCCTCCACATGAATGTGTGGGGCCCTTCCCGCGTCACTGGACAGGGTGGCGAGCGCTACTTTCTGCTGGTTGTTGACGACTACACGCGCTACACCACGGTCTTCCCCTTGCAGAGCAAGGCGGAGGTCCGCAGTGTCTTGATCCACTCGATACGTTCTGTCCATCTCGAGCTTAGCGCTCGGTTCCGACAGGACCTACCAGTCCTGCGGCTGCACTCTGACCGAGGTGGTGAGTTTTGCTCCCGCCTCCTCGCGGAGTTCTGTGGTACTGAGGCATCCGCCAGTCGTTCACGCTTCTGGCCTCTCCGCAGCAGAATGGGATTGCAGAGCGTCGCATTGGCTTAGTCATGGAGGTTGCTCGCTCCTCCATGGTCCATGCGGCTGCTCCCCATTTTCTGTGGTCGTTTGCGGTCCAATACGCCGCTGCGCAGCAGCTCAACCTCTGGCCCCGTGTCTCCCATCCGGAGACCTCCCCTACTCTGCGGTGGACGGGAGAGGTTGGTGATGCATCGGTGTTTCGGGTCTGGGGTTGCCTTGCTCTTGTCCGCGATCGTCCCGCGAGCAAGTTTTCTCCTCGCACTCTTCGCTGCGTCTTCCTTGGCTTCCCTACCGACGCTCTGCCCTGGCAGTTTTACCACCCGGGTTCTTGTCGTATCCTCCTGTCCTCCCAGGACGTCACCTTTGACGAGTCTGTCTGCTTCTACCGTCTCCACCCCCACCGCAGTTCCCCCGTGCCCCTCCCGCCTCTCTTCCTGGTACCTGACCACCCCCCCTCCCCCGGGTAGCCCCCCTCCCCCCACACAGTCCTCCTCCCTCAGGTGTGTCTCAGGTAGACCCACCCCCCTTGGTTGAGCCTTTTGAGGTCTCCTCTGACACCTCTGGCCCAGCTGAGGGGGGTGACCCGCCTGGTGCCGACACTGTGGCCCCTCGCCGCTCAGCGCGCTTGGCGGCCCCTCTTAGTTTTCCGCCTCGGCCGTCTTCACCGCTTCGGCAGCCGGTCGCTGTGGACTCTGGTGCTGCTGGAGGTGGTGACTTTGGGGGTGCGGAATCTGGGGTGCTGGTTCTTGGGGTGCTGAGTGTCCTACGGGTACAGGAGAAGCTCGAGGTGCTGCAGTTGGAGGTGCTAGAGGTGTTGGTGCTGGTGGTACTGGAGTTGGAGGTGATGGAGGTCCTAGTGCTAGAGATGCTAATACTAGCGGTACTGGTGCACGTTTGCAGGAGACTCTCTCGCCCGAGCGGCTTTGTGAGTGGGCTGTCCGGTGGGGCAGCTCTGGTGGTGGAGCTAGCCTTGCTCCAGCTTGAGGTGCTAGAGCTGGAGGTGCTAGAGCTGGAGGTGCTAGAGGTACTGGAGCTGCTGGTGCTAGAGGTGCTAGAACTAGAGGTGCTGGAGGTGCTAGAGCTGCTGGTGCTGGAGGTACTAGGGATGCTGGTACTGGAAGTGCTACTGGAGGTGCTAGCATTGGAGCTACTGGAGGTACTGGAGCTGCTGGTGCTGGAGGTGCTAGAGTCGGAGATACTGGGGGTACTGGAGCTGCTGGTGCTGGAGGTACTGGAGCTGCTGGTGCTGGAGGTGCTACAGCTGGAGGTGTAGGAGGTTCTGGAGCTGGTGGTACTGGAGGTGCTGGAGGTGCTGGAGCTGCTGACGGTACGGGTACTGCGCCGCGCCGCCCATTTTTCTACGAGCAGCCGGAGTCGTCCTTACCACCGCCTGGCTCGGCACTTCGTCTGTTCTTAGTCTTCCGTCTTCCACTGGCCTTACTCCTCCCTTACTGTGTCCACCGCTTGGCCCGTCTTAGACACAGCTACCACCAGACTCCCCACTGCCTGCTCCTTCTCCTTACACAGAGCAGCCAGACACCTTGACAGAGCGTCGTGAGCCTGCGTCTTGTCCTGCCTCCCCTGTACGCATTGTTCGCCGCGCTCATCGTGTTCCTCTCCCTCTTCCTCCACCAGTCCCCGGCTCACACACTATGGCACTTCGTCCTTCCTCTGTTCCACAGCGTGTTGCCCTGCCGTCTCCTCCAGCGTCCTCTCTGCCTGACATTCGTGACACTCCGTCTGACCTTGCTTGTGCTACTAGTCCTACTGTCACGCGTCTCCTAGCCACAGTTGTCACTGACCCTACTTTTGAGTCTACTGTTGCGTTTGCCTTAGTCGCTGAGCTCGTAGACTTTGCTGCTCCGTCCATCAGGAGTGAGTGTGCCCTTAGCACGGACGTCCTTGAGGACAGGCAGTTTGAGCTCGAGTGTCTTGCGGCTGCTGTACCTCATCTCGCTGCCATGCTACTTGCCCCTGAGGGAGACCCGGATGCATTAGACATCCCGACCCCGCGCTCTTACGTAAAGGGCGATCACGGGTCCTTACTCCTCTCAGTGGCAGGCAGCCATGGACGCAGAGATGGCATCCTGGAAGAGCACAGGCACTTACGTCGACGCAGTTCCCCCTCCTGGGGTGAACATAGTCGATGGCATGTGGATTTTCAGGGTGAAGCGGCCGTCGGGTTCTCCGCCTGTCTTCAAGGCGCATTACGTTGCTCGAGGCTTAAGTCAGCGACAGGGAGTCGACTTCTTCCAGACCTTCTCCCCCACCCCGAAGATGACCACTCTTCGGGTGTTACTGCACGTTGCAGCACAGCGTGACTACGAGCTCCACTCTCTTGACTTCAGCACAACTTTCTTGCAGGGCAGCCTACACGAGGAGATCTGGCTGCGCCACCCACCTGGCTTCACTGGGTCGTTTCTTGAGGGTATCCAGTGGGGGCATCCGGCGGCCAGTCTACGGTCTCCGTCAGGCGCCTCGTGAGTGGCACGACATACTGAGGACTACACTTGCAGCTCTTGGTTTCGATCCCTCGACTACTGACCGTTCACTGTTTCTGCGTACAGACACTTCTCTCCTGCCGTTCTACGTTCTTGTGTACGTCGACGACTTGGTTTTTGCTACTGCTGACACTGAGGCACTGGCCCTTGTGAAGTCGAAGCTGCAGAAGAGACACACCTGCACTGGCCTTGGTGAGTTGTGCAACAGCTATCTTGGCTTGCAGATCACCCAGGACAGAGCACGACGCACAATCACCGTGACTCAGTCACACATGGTGCAGCAGGTCCTTCAGCGCTTCGGCTTCCAAATCCTCCCCACAGCCCACTCCTCTACCTACAGGCCTCTCGCTCTCAGCTCCTCCTTCGGACGAGTCTGTAGAGCTGAGTGGTCAGTTGCAAAGACTGGAGCACAGAACGAAGCACATTGCTCTCCGTTACTTCCTCACGCAAGAGCTGCAGCATCGTGGTCAACGTCATCTTGCTTATGTGGCCACACAGGCCAACACTGCTGATGTCTTCACCAAGGCCCTTGGGTCTGGTGATCATCAGCGTTCCTACACTGCTCTTGGGCTTGTGCCCACTCTGCCTCACCTGCTTGTATCTTGATCTTGCCTTGCTCTTGTTGTACACTGATATGTATGAGTAGACCTGCATGCTTACACTTGCTATGCTGTGATCAGTCTACTGCTCTTGGTATTATGAACTCTGCATGTGAACTGGCCTTGTGGCCGCTTGCTTGTGCTCGGAATGCGTGGTGATCTTGAGATCCACCCTGAGCTTTGCTTTGCTTTGCTTCTTCTCTTGACTGGTCTTGTGACCATTGCTTGCTCTGGCTATCCCCCACTTCGCCTATGGGGGTGTGTCAAACATATATTTTTGTCAGAATGTTATAATTGTCTAGTCTGCAGTGGGGTACTCTATAGTGAGTACAACCTAGTTAGGGTTTCCTATTTGTATCCCAACTGTCTACTAGTGCAAACCTCTCTCTCTGCTTTCACAAACTTCTCGCTACTCTACTGCCTCAAACCCTAGCTATGGCCACTGAGTTCTAGCTACTATTTCAACATGGTATTAGAGCAACTAAGCTATTGGCCTGTGGGCCCCCCATGCTTCCGCTGCTGCTGTACTGCCTGTCGCGCGCCCCGTGGCGCGCGACGTTTTTTCTTCCCGCCACGCGCTCGGGGCGCGTGGCCGTTTTCTGCCCGCCACGAGCTCGGGGCGCGTGGCGGTTTTACGATCCGTCGCGGCGCCCTTCAGAGACCCGCGCGCTCCACCCGTCGTCCGTCGCGGCGCCCTCAAGGACCACCGCGCGGCCCCCCGTCGCCCGTCGCGGCGCCTCCGGGGACCCGCGCGCTCCCTCCCGTCGTCCATCGCGGTGCCACCAGGGACCAGCGCGCGGCCCCCCGTCGCAACGCCACCGGGGAACAGCGCGCCCCCCCCGTCGCCCGTTGCGGCGCCACCGGGGACCCGCGCGCTCCCCCCCGTCGCCCGTCGCGGCGCCCCCGGGGACCCGCGCGCTCCCCCCCGTTGCCCGTCGCGGCGCCGTCGAGGACCCGCGCGCTCCCCCCCGTCGCCCGTCGCGGCGCCCCCAGGGACTCGCGCGCCACCCCTTGGCCCCGTGCGCCGCGGGGCTGCTTCCCCCCTCCCCCCCCCTGCCCCTCCCCTTTCCCCTTCCTCTCCCTCCTGCGCGTGCGGCTATGGGGGTGGCGGGTGTGTGAGCCGTCCCCTGCTCCTCCTCCTCCTCCGTCTCCCACTGCTGCAGCTGCCGCTGAGGGGGGTGGGTGTGTGGGAGCCGAGGGAGTGGCGCTAGGGGGGTGTCGTGGGAGTGGAGCTAGGGGTGCAGCAAAGGGTGTGTGAAAGGGGTGTGGGACAGTTGGGGGAGGTTGAGCGGAGGTAGCCGTCGTGACGTCAGCAGCGCCAGTAGTCCACGGCCCTTGCTCCGGTAGCCCAGCGAGTCTGCTGCGCCAGTCGCCTGTGGGTCCGTTGCTCCTGCCGCTCGTCTTAGCCGCGGAGCCAGTTACTCCTGTAGTCCGGGGCCCTTGCTCCTCTAGCCACTGTGCGCGCCGCTCCTGTTGCCCGTGTGTCTGCAGCTTCACCTGTGGCCTCCTATCTCCACTCCTCTCACAGTCCCTCCTCCTCCTCACTTGCCCTCTATGACTGCCTCTAGCTTTGCTTGTGCTTGTGAACTTCTTATGCGACTGCTTGCTGTGCTGATCATACCCCACTTTGCCTATGGGGGTGTGTCAGAATGCTATAATTGTCTAGTCTGCAGTGGGGTACTCTATAGTGAGTACAACCCAGTTAGGGTTGACTATTTGTATCCCAACTGTCTGCTAGTGCAAACCTCTCTCTCTGCTTTCACAAACTTCTCGCTACTCTACTGCCTCAAACCCTAGCTATGGCTATTGAGTTCTAGCTACTATTTCAAACATATATTTTCATATTGAACTAGGCTGTAGGGGGGCTTAGCCTTAGGGGGTACAACAATTCTCTCGACATTGTACTTGTACCCCTTCCCCTTTGAACTAATAAGAGGGGCCTGGTTTCGCGGATCTCGCATACAACCCATTTCAATCGTCATAACTTGATAATTTACCATGCTGACCTTGGGCTTTAAATCCTGCTAAATACAGTAACAAGTTTCAGATTTGAAGCGAGCCCAATTTCTCCATCGCTTCGTTTGACTTGCGAAGACCTCAGGACAGGGCTTAGGTTTGGATTTTGCCTACTCACGATTGGCAGTGTAGCTATGTCAATAACCCTTCTGAGCAGTGTGTATTTTTTCATTACACTGATGCAGGGCTTCAGATTCGTTTTGGGCCACCCTTAGTAATCAGGGTTCTAGGTATAGTCAACCCTGATGCGTAGGGTAATTTTTTTGTTTCCCTGACAAATGCAGGGTAAAAAAATTGTAAGTCTGTTTGGTAAGGGTAATTTTTCTAGAACACTTATATCAGTAATGCCAAAATAGTCATGTTCAACTCTTGGTGGCTCAGTTGTTTTGATTACGAGATAGATCTGAGAGGTCGCAGGTTCGAGTGTAGCTGCTTGGGAGTATTTTGCAGGGGCCCAAATAGTGTTTCGTCTCGCTACGGAGCATTCGGTATCATTCTAATTGGGATTGTACTCTGTACAGCCAGAGAAATAAGTTCCTTACGCTGTTTTTCAAAGGGTACAAAAAAACTTACACTTTCTGGCCTAGGGTAAAAAATCCACTACCCTGCCTGTGAAAGGGTAACTGAAAAAAAGCGGCCGCCAGTCAGTGCAAAAAGGGTATTTTACCCTGATAACGAGAGCCCTGCACTGATGGATCAGTGTAACTTTGACTTTTGAAAATTTTACCCTGCAACAGCAGTGTGACTTCTCGTGGCGTGCTGGCAAGGGAAACATACAAAACTGACCAATCAGATACGAGACTGCTTCCAACGAACAGACTATACTGAAGGAAACGTCGGTACTTGCGTGATTAACGGAAATCACGAACCAACAGATTTCGGGGAAAGGGGAAGGGGGAGGGGGGGGGGAAGGGGGGGGGGGGTTGTACGCTCTTCAGTGTAATCTTTGCTAAGGGAAAAGTTACCCCAATGCATCAGTGTGGCCTACAGCGTTACACTGACATATCCGTGTAATAGTAATCCTCCAAAAAATTACCCAAACACATCAGTGTAAGCCCGAAATTTCACCCTTGTAATCAGTGTAGAAGGGTAAATTACACTGATAACGAGAGCCCTGCCTCAGAAGCTGCGCGTAAGGTCAAGATGTGCTGGCATAGGGGCAAACTGACTCGTCTTGTCAGAATCCCAGCTACTACCCACTGGGATAAAAGGGCTTGTTGTCAAATGTTATTTTGTTGTTTGTATACAGTAGGCTATAGTGGGGTAGCCACTAAGGGGTACAACCCCTTTAGGATTTCATACTTGTATCATTGCTTGCCTTCGTTCAATCCATTCTAGTTGGTTATCTTAACATGGTATTAAGAGCCATGGGTCCTTAGGACCTAAGCTTCTTCATAGGGCCCACCTGTTACTGCATTACCCCACTGCCCTACCCCGAGTCGCGCTGCCCCTGTTAGCCGCGCGCCACTGCTGCAGTGCGAATTTTTTTTTAGCGCGCTGCGCCACCTACCCTGCCCGTGCGCATCCAGCCGCCGCGCCTTCCTGCCCTGCCCTTGCGCAGCCCGCTGCCACGCCACCTTGCCCTGCCCGTGCGCGGCCTGCGGCCACGCCACCCTACCCTGCCCGTGCACAGCGCCGCCCGCCGCGCTCCCTGCCCTGCGTGTGCATGCCGTCCGCTTCCTCCCCTGCCGGCCGCCCCTCGCCTAGTCAGCGCCGCCTTGCTGCCCTGCGCTACCAACGATGGCGACTTAAAATGTTCTCACTTTTGATGCAGATGGCCGCCCGATCGAATTTGAGACCTGGTTAGACGACCTTAGGCTATACCTTCAAAGCGAGTCTAAGGATCGTGTGTCCCTGTTCGCTCATACGTCTGGTAGCGCTGCCGCCCCTGCAGACACTGCTGACGCTGACACTCGTGACCAGTGGCTTATTCGCGACGCTGCTGCTCGCCTAGCTGTGCGAAACCACCTACCACTAGCCGAGCGCGCGCACTTTAGCCAGCAGAAAACCGCCAAGGACCTGTTCGACGCAGTCGTAGCTCGCTACAGCTCGCCTGCCACTGCTGCGCTAGGCCGTCTTATCCTGCCCTACCTCTTTCCTGACCTGTCCGCCTTTCCTACAGTCGCTGATCTCATCATCCATCTCCGCACTAGCGACGCTAGGGTGCGTGCTGCGACCCCTGCCGACTTCCTCGCCAAGAACCCTCCCCCTATTCACTACACCCTCTACCTCCTAGTCACTCGCCTCCCTGACTCTCTTCGTGCTGTCAGGGACACCTTCCTCGCCATGGACCCCACTGAGCTCACTATAGACCTCCTCGAAAAGCACCTTACTGCGGCCGAGGTTAGCATTAACACTGTAGGCGCTTCTCGAGGCACTCCTCGCACCCCCTTCTTCGAGGGGTGTTCCCCCTCTCCCCTCCTCCCCTCTGTCGCCACTGCTGCTGCTGTCGACCTCCTTGGTGCTGAGGAGGTTGGGGTTGCGTCTGCTTCCAGTGGCAAGCGCCGCAGCGGCAAGGCGAAGGGTGGCAGGGGTGGTGGGGGTGGTGGGGGTGGGGGCGGTGATGGAGGCTCGGGTGGTGGCGGCGGGGGTGGTGGGAGCGGCGGGGGTGGGAATGGGGGTGTTGGGTCGTTGGGGTCGGCGGTGGCGGCGGCAGTGGGGGTGGCAGCGGCAGAGGTGGCGGTGGTGGGAGTGGCAGCGGAGTCGGTGGCGGTGGTCGCAGTGGTGTGGCCCAGCGCGGCGGCTCTGGAGGCAGCCAGGCACAGCAGCAGCAGCGCCAGCGCCTGCCCCGTACGCCGCAAAACCTTCGTGAGTGGTACGCGCAGCGTCAGTCGCCTGGGGGTGGTGGTACCTGCCCGTTGTCATTCGTACGAGTGAGTGTGCTAGTCAGACCTGCGGGAGGTTGCACACCCAGCACCGCTGCTTTTCCCGCCTTAGTGACGCCTGGCGTGCTCAGCTTCCTGACTGCTCTGAACTGCCCAACTGGGCTGATCTGCTTAGGAGGGGAGTAGAGATCTTTGATCTTGACTATGATGCTATCCTTGCTGCCATGTATGCATTGACTGTTAGTGCTGAGGGTGACTGTTACCTGTGTGTTCCGCCAGACCCTGGTATAGAGGCTGCTGCTCCAGGTGCTTGTGAGTCTGCTGCCCTTGGTGCTTGCGAGTCTGCTGCCCTAGGTGCTAGTGAGTCTGCTCTCTCAGGTACTGCGCCTACTGAGGCCTTGTACACTTTCACGCTAGACTCAGGTGCCTCCCGCTGCTTCTTCCGCGACAGCACCATAGTCACACCGCTCTCTGCACCGGTTCCGGTCTCCCTTGCTGACCCCTCTGGGGGACCTGTCCTTGCACGTTCCTCCACTGTCCTCCCCTGTCCGGCGGTCCCGTCTGGCTCACTTACAGGTCTCCACCTCCCCTCGTTCTCTACGAACCTGGTGAGTAACGCCGTCATCCAGGATGAGTGGGTTGACACCTTCACCCCTGGAGGACGTCGTGTGGCGATCTGCACGTGTGCCCGCACGGGCCGCCACCTGGCCACGTTCACCCGTCGGCCTGGGTCGAGTCTGTACACCCTGACTGTCGGGTCTCCCCAGGTTGCTGCTACTAGTCAGGTGTCCTTGTCCGGACCGGAGTCTGCCCCTTGCTTGTGTCGTCACCTGTCGCACCAGACTCTCCTCTGGCACCACCGCCTTGGACACGCCCTCTCTGCCGCGCCTCCGCAGCATGCACTCCCGTCTGCTTGTCTCTGGTCTTCCCCAGTCCCTGTCGTCGCCGCCGCTCCGTCTCGCCTGCCCCGCCGTGTCGCCCTTGTGTCGATCGCTCGGGGCGGCAGCGCGCCGCTCCTCACTCCTCCTCGTTTCCCCCGACAGACGCTCCCCTGCAGACTCTCCACATGGACATGTGGGGCCCAGTTTTACCACCCCACCTCGCGCCGTGTTTTGTCCTCTCAGGACGTCACGTTTGACGAGTCGGTTCCCTTTTACCGTCTCTTCCCCTATCCCGCACTACCTCTCTCCCCCCCCCCCCCGCCGCAGAGGTGGTGAGTTCTTCCTCGCTCCAGGTCCGCTCCCGGTAGACCCCCTCCCCCCTCAGGGTCCTGCTCCTTCAGGTGTTTCCCAGGTAGACCCCTCTCCCCTGGTTGAGCCTGTCGAGGTCACTGGTGACTCTAGTGCTGCTAGAGGAGGTACTGCTGGGGGGGTCCTGAGCCTAGGGGTGCTGAGCTTGTGGGTGCGGGGCCTGAGGGTGCTGAGCCTGCGGGTGGGGCCTGGGGGTGCTGAGCCTGAGCGCGTGGAGCCTGGGGGTGCTGAGCCTGAGCGTGACGAGCCTGGAGCTGCTGAGCCTGGGGGTGCTGTACCTGAGTGTGTGGAGCCTAGGGGTGCTGAGCCTGGGGGTGCTGAGCCTGAGCGTGTGGAGCCTGGGGGTGCTGAGCCTGGGGGTGCTGAGCCTGAGCGTGTGGAGCCTGGGGGTGCCGAGCCTGGGGGTGCTGAGCCTGGGGGTGCTGAGCCTGGGTCTGGTCGGCAGGAGCCTCTCTCCCCGCAGCAGCTGCGTGAGTGGTACACTCGACGCTACTGCCGTTCGCGTGGCGCTGCTGGTGCTGGGGGCTCGGCCACTGGAGCTGCTGGGACTGCTGGACCTTCCGACGCTGCTGGTGCTGGAGGAGCCCCTGGTGCTGTTGGTCCCGGAGGTGCTCGTACTGGAGGTACTGGAGCTGCCGGGGCTGGTGGTGCTGGTCCTGGGGCTACTGGAGCCGTCGGTTGTGCCGCTGGAGACGCTTTAGAAGGAGACACTGGGACTGGAGGTCCTGGTGCTGGAGGTGCTGACGCTGGAGTTCCTGGTGCTGGAGCCTCTGGGGCGGGAGGAGTTGGAGCTGGTGACGCTGGTTCTGGAGGTGCTGCTGCTGGTGGTGCTGCGCAGCGGCGTCTGTTCTTCACTCCGCCGTCGCCGTCGTCTCTCCCGCCGCCTGACTCCGTGCTTCGTCAGGTTCTTACCCTCCCGTCTTCTACTAGTCTTCCACTACAGCCTGGCTCTCCGCTGCCTGCTCCTTCTCCTTACACTGAGCAGACAGACTCGCTTACAGAGCGTCGTGAGCCTGCGTCTCGTCCTGCCTCGCCTGTTCGCGTCGCTCGCACTGCTCGCCGTGTCCCGCGTCCGCGTCCTCCTCCTGTGCCGGGCACTCACACTATGGCACTTCGTCCCTCCTCTGCTCCGCAGCGCGTCCCGCTGCCTTCTCCTCCTGCGTCCTCTCTTCCTGAGCTTCCTGACCCTGCGTCTGACGCTGTTCGTGCTGCCAGTCCCACCGTCACGCGTCTGCTAGCCACTGTTGTCATTGACCCGTCGTTTGAGTCTGCTGCTGCGTCTGCCTTAGTTACTGAGCTTGTTGACTTTGCTGCTGCCTGTCGTCTCGACTACGCTGCCAGTCTTGTTGCTGAGTCTGCGTCTGTCTGTCCTCCGTCCGTCGGGGGTGAGTGTGTTCTTGGCACGGACGTCCTTGAGGACAGGCAGGAGGAGCTCGACTGTCTTGCGGCTGCTGTACCTCATCTCGTGGCCTGGCTGCTTGCCCCTGAGGGAGACCCGGATGCACCAGACATCGGGACCCCGCGCTCTTACACAGAGGCGATCTCGGGTCCCTACTCCTCTTAGTGGCAGACAGCCATGGACGCAGAGATGGCATCCTAGAAGTCCACAGGCACCTACGTCGACGAGGTTCCCCCTCCTGGGGCGAACATAGTCGATGGCATGTGGATTTTCAGGGTGAAGCGGCCGCCGGGTTCTCCGCCTGTCTTCAAGGCTCGTTACGTTGCACGAGGCTTCAGTCAGGCACAGGGAGTTGACTTCTTCCAGACCTTCTCCCCTACCCCGAAGATGACCACTCTTCGGGTGCTGCTGCACGTTGCCACTCAGTTTGACTATGAGCTTCACTCTCTTGACTTCAGCACAGCCTTCTTGCAGGGCAGCCTGCACGAGGAGATCTGGCTGCGCCGTCCTCCTGGCTTCACTGGGTCGTTCCCTCCTGGTACCCAGTGGAGCCTCCGGCGCCCAGTCTACGGTCTCCGCCAGGCACCTCGTGAGTGGCACGACACACTGAGGACGACTCTTGCGGCACTTGGGTTTGCTCCTTCGACTGCAGACCCGTCGCTGTTCCTCCGCACCGACACGTCCCTGCCGCCGCCGTTCTACATCCTCGTGTACGTCGACGACCTGGTCTTTGCTACTGCTGACACTGAGGCACTCGCCCTTGTGAAGTCAGAGCTGCAGAAGAGACACACGTGCACAGACCTGGGTGAGCTGCGTAGCTACCTTGGCTTGCAGATCACCCGGGACAGAGCTCGCCGCACCATCACCCTGACTCAGTCACACATGGTGCAGCAGGTCCTTCAGCGCTTCGGCTTCCAGTTCTCCTCACCACAGTCCACTCCTCTGTCTACCGGTCACTCGCTCTCAGCTCCACCTTCGGACGAGTCCGTAGAGCCGAGTGGCCCGTACCCAGAGCTTGTGGGCTGCCTCATATACCTGATGACTTGCACACGACCTGACCTTGCGTACCCTCTTAGCATCCTGGCTCGCTACGTTGCGCCTGGGAGGCACAGGCGAGAGCACTGGGAGGCTGCTAAGAGGGTGCTGCGCTACTTGTGCAGTACATCAGGCATGGGGCTGGTACTTGGAGGACGGGGCGATGTTGTCCTCACTGGACACTCAGACGCCTCTTGGGTTGACGACCTGGCTACGCAGCGGTCGTCGCAGGGTTACACCTTCAGCCTTGGTTCTGGTTCTGTCTCTTGGCGGTCTACCCGTTCGTCTTCTGTTCTCAGCTCCAGTTGTGAGGCTGAGATCTACGCCACAGCCATGGCTGCACAGGAGTTACGCTGGCTCACTTACCTGCTGACTGACTTGGGAGAGCAGCCGCGTTCTCCTCCAGTTCTGTACGGCGACAACAAGGCAGCCCTTGCCTTGTGTCAGGAGCACAGACTGGAGCACATGACAAAGCATATTGCTCTGCGTTACTTTCTTGCTCGAGAGCTACAGCAGCGCGGTCAGCTTCGTCTTGCTTACGTGGACACGCGGGCGAACACAGCTGATATCTTCACCAAGGCGCTTCCGCCTAGTGATCATCAGCGTCACTGCACTGCTCTAGGTCTCGTGCCTACTTTCTCTCACTTGCTCACTGCTTGACCTTGCTTGTACTGTGATTCATTATATATACCTGCATGCCTACACTTGCTAGGTAGTCATCGCTATTTTGCTTGCTCTCTCTTGTATATCAGTGCTTGTGAACTGGCCTTGTGGCCCTCTTTGCTTGTGCTCAGAATGTGTGGTGACGTTGAGATCCACCCTGGGCTTGTCTTGCTTCTCTTGTCTGGTCTTGAGACCACTTGTTCTCCCCCACTTTGCCTATGAGGGTGTGTCAAATGTTATTTTGTTGTTTGTATACAGTAGGCTACAGTGGGGTAGCCACTAAGGGGTACAACCCCTTTAGGGTTTCATACTTGTATCATTGCTTGCCTTAGTTCAATCCATTCTAGTTGGTTATCTTAACACTTGTTTGTGTAACGGGTGAGTGCGCCCATAACCCCCAGGCCGACGTGCCTGTAACCCTTCCCTAGGATCGATCGGGGATCTCCAGTTGACCTCTGACACCCGTCCGCGCACTGGGATGCCCGAGGTGCACACACCGGGATTCGAACCCAAGACCTTCGCTCTGATAACATGTCAGAATCTAGGGCCCAAAATATCAGGGTAAAACGCCCTGATTACCCTGGGGGCCGGCCGCTTTTTTAGGATTACCCTGTCGAAATCAGGATTTCATGATTGTTACCCTTCTCTAAAAAGTGTTTTTTTTTTTTTAACCCTGATAAGCTTTATGGTTAGCCTGACGGAATGAGGATAGGGTGTGAACTACCCTTTTACCGAAACTTTCTAACGCGAATCGGACCATACTCCGCGTGGTGACAAAATGTACCACACCCCCGCAAACAAGCGTTGCCGCTTGTGACCACTAGCAATAAAACTTGCTTCGGTGTCGGCGACACGCCATGTTGCCTCATTGGTTGTTTCTCCCGCAGGACTGCCAACGCATTATTGAATCTAGCCACACGTCCCGTAGAAGATGTGGGCAGTGAGGGTGGCACTGAGTAGGTGTGTTGTGAATGTGATGCTCTTGTAGACTTGATTGACTTTGTGTGTGCTACTTTATTATGTCCGTATAAATAACTTAGCGCACAAAACAGAAGCCCAAACAGGCTTTGCCTAAAACTACCCTGCTCAAATTAGGCTACTGGTTCATTTACCATGCTGCAAACAAGGTACGAAAACTTTTACCCTAGGGGTCTGGTTAAGGAGGGGCTGGAACCCTGAATCGTAAGGGTAGGCCTAAACCAAGTTTGGGCCCTGTCAGAATCCCAGCCACTAACCACTGTGATAAAAGGCAGGGCCTTAGATTGGTTTTTGCCTAGGCTAAACAGTCAGTGTTGTACCAAAAAAAAAAGCTGGAAAATCAGTGTCCTAGTTAGAAAAAAGGTTGGCTAATCAACCTCACTTTAAAACTAAGGCTAAACAAAGCTAGAGTCCATTTTCAATGAAGTGCTGTGGGTGAGGTAGGTTGAGGTGGGGATGCTTAACGTGGGGGCACGCGGTGCTTTGCTGTGCGTTGTTGTCCTGGTGCAATACTTCTGCACCGAACCGACGCGTCGGGAAATTCGATTTCTCGCTACATCAGCACTATAGGTGGCAACTTCGGCGTGATTGACGGGGGATGTACCTAGACAGCCGAAACTGACGGCTCCTACACGAATCAGTAATAGCACGATTTCAACCTACACCCTCATTTGTACACTAATCAATCAGTGTACACTTGAAAAAAATCGCTGAAAAATCAGCCCATACACTACTAAAAAAAAACTGAAATATCAGCCCATACATTATCCCCATGTCTGAAAAATCAGCCTTTCGACCCTAAATCAGCCTTTTTTCGCTGAAATTTGAGGCCCTGATAAAAGGGCAGGCCCTCAGATTGGTTTTAGGCAACACTTTCTGGTCAGTGTTGGTCAAAAAAAAAAAACTTTCTGTCAGGGTCCTTAAGTGAAAACACCCTAAGAAATAAGTGTTGTCTCTTAAAAAAAAAATTCCCATCAGTGTTGATAACAATTATTAGGCTGATTGATTGCTTTCACCAGACCAGCCAGACCACACGAGGGAAACGCTTTGCAGGCGTGTATGGTCCCCTATTGGCCATCCACGAAATGGGATGTGCCCCCTTTTTCGGCACGATTCCACAGCGTCACGGTTTACGACCGTGACGCAGTGGAATCTTGCCAGCCCTGGCCATGTGATTGGGCACGGTGTGTGATTACCTGAAACTGCCCAATCACATGCCAGCTTGACAGATGATGGCGACAATACATCAAGTCAGGTACGTGTGTGGGTACAGTAAAGATGCCATTTCTCGTGATTG